CTTCTTTCTGCTCCTTAATAAAGGAGGCACTACTAGGATTTTTCATTAGCACTAAATCAGCTGTCTCTCTCTCACTTCAGGCTGTTCACCTCAAGTGGGTCTTTCAATAAGAGTTTCAGTGCTTCCCTCAGAGGCTTCTATTTGCATCCCCTGAGACCAGGTTACTATTAAAACACTATGCACATGCTTGGCTAGATCTAAAACAATCAGACAGGGAGCTGGGATTTGGTCTGACACTACTACTTTCCATATACCAGACCACCCATTATAGTTCACAGATATTTTGGCCCTAGGTAGTGTAAGCGATCAGCTCTCCTAAGAGAATGCTTGACCGTTCGGACAGAGAGTAATTAGAAGCCTGTGCTCCCTCATTAGGCTGAGGAGTCCTGGTAACTTCAGCCAAGGGCCGCCCCAACACTTCTGCTTACAAGTCTGCCCTAAAAAGATACTTCAGCAACCTTAGAAAATTCCAAAAAAAAGAAAGAAAAAAGACACATGAGCTATGTAGTCAGTAGATTCACTTTGCTCAATATGGATAGGACTCAGTAGCAAAATGTGTCCCAATATTTCCCCCTCAGTGTGATACTAAGACAGCTCCACTGTTCAAGAGACCAATTGATTTTTATAATTATTATTTTATTAAGAAAAATATAGAAATTCACAAAATAAAGTCAGTTTCATGCATAAGCAAGCATATTATCATTTTCAAGGAATGATACAAAATATAAATAAAGCAACAATTGTCTTTAAATACAAAAACACTAAAAATCCTAGAAAAATCTATAAAAACTCTATTAGGGTGGGCAAAAGGCTTAAATCCCCCCTTTCCACCTAATCACCTACATGTCCATCAGTCTATTACCTGCACTGCACAGCTGGCAACAAGACCTAGAAAACTGTAGAAAAAGAAGGGAAAGGAAAGAATATTGTCCATGGCAAGAGTTCCTTTTTCAAGCTTAACTGGAACCCCCCCCCTCTTCTCCATCTCTCACGCTGTCATCCAATCATAGCATGAAGTCAGGTAAACAGTCCCTCTTTATCTTCTTTCTTCTCTTCTCATGGGAAACAGGTGTTGTTTTCCTAGATCCGTCTGCACTCCGCCATAACAAATGACTAGTCTTCTTATCTAGGATTGTCCTCCTCAGGCCAACAAGAGAACATTCCCACATCCCTCTGCAAAAATACACTGTCAGATGCAGAAATCATTTATATAGAGAACCAATATGGAATCCATTTTACATTGTTCACTATTACATATCCCATTTAGAAATTACATTCTAGCTTCAATAACCTAAACCATGACAGGTAGGACCACCAAATCAGAACTGATCCCTTTAATGGAGACATTCTTATGTACTATCATGTCTTCCTCAGGGATTGTATCAGGATAGTAAATAGTTATCTGAGAGCACTAAACTTTAAGGCTAAGATATTTCTGGCCATTTATAAAAATAAATTCTCCTGAGCTGTCTAGTAAATTTTGACACGATAAAATAACATTGTACCACTCTGGCTTCAGGAATTTCTGGGCTCTCTGCCAAGTCTGTTTTCTTAGCAATAGTACTGCTGCTAGCTTCAGCTGCCAAAGACTGAAGACTACTTTTTTAGGCTGAATGTAATATCCACCTTTGTTGTTGTTGTTGTTAAGCCATATCCCATTCTTCATAACCCCATGGACCAGAGCACACTAGGCCCTCCTGTCTTCCACTGCCTCCTGGGGTTTGGTCAAATTCATGTTGGTAGCTTCGATGACACTGTCCAACCATCCTGTCCTCTGACACCCCCTTCTCCTGCCTTCACACTTTCCCAACATCAACGTCTTTTCCAGTGAGTCTTCTCTTCTCATGAGATGGCCAAAGTATTGAAGCCTCAGCTTCAAGACCTGTACTTCCAGTGATCACTCAGGGTTGATTTCCTTCAAAATGGATAGGTTTGTTCTCTTTGCAGTCCAGGGGACTCTCAAAGGGTATTTGAGCAAAGAGAAATGCAATTCCAAATTGAGATGAAGAAACTGGAATTACATTTACCTGCTCATCATCATCATCATCATGCATTCCCATTAGTCTATGCAGATAGCATATTAATATTCAGGACCTGGGCAAATGCCACTCTGCTTTCTGCATTGTACTAACAAAAGTTACCTTGAATATTAATGGCATTAATTTTGAAATATCCTCTGCCAGTGTAACCTTTTACTACTGCTGGCCAGTACCAGGTGCTTGAAAACTTCCATGCCTCCATTGGAATGGTCAATTTTCTTCTGCTGATGTCACTTGTAGCTGAGGGCAGTAGATGCATTGCAGTTTGGTCTCAGCTTTGACCATTCTATCTTGGGTGACTCAGCTAGCTGTCTAGGCTTGTAATGGTGTTTATCCTCCTAAAGACTGTGACACACTGAAATACTCTCACCTTATTAAGGTATGCAACCAAGAGGGGATTGATAAATTATCTTCCATGAATTCGTCTCTATTTATGACTATCTAAACCAGTGGTCCTGCTGTTGAGCATTCTATTAACAACTTATAATGTTCTGCGAAGTATTCTCTCCATCTTGAATCTACAGCCAATGAGTTTCACGGAAAGAGCCAGTGTTAGGAGGAGGAACAGTCTTTGCTCATTCCTTACACAATTAAGGCATATACAAACCTGTACAATACCCCATCCCCCAAATCTAGTTGTCTCTTTCTTTTAAATCCAGAGGCCAGAAATACTAGCTTTTCTGCATGAGGTTGAGTCCTGCCAATGACTGGGCACCTTGATCTCTCTCTCTGCTTATTCACTTTTGCAGATGGAAAGTTCATTTGATTTCTTCTTATTACCTGCTTCTCCTGCATATCCTCTTAGACGAGACACAAAGGATCAAGAATCTTAAACTGAAGTGTAAAGGTACGTCAGGACTTCCTTGTAGTACAGTACGTAGCAGAAGCTACGTACTACAGTAGAATTCCTCCAGGAGGTGCTGCTAACAGAGACTTGAAGTGGTCTTCTACCTCTTCTACCTTCAAACTGTTTTCAGGTCAGCAAAGCTGAATCTTTAGAGTCTAGTAGACTGGCCCCAACAGATACCTTCTCTTGACAAGAATGGCAAGGGCTGTACAACAGGACTGGCCTAGTGCCTATTGTCTGTATAACACTTAAAATAAACTACTGTATGTACCTCACAGCAGATAAAAGACCGATCCATGCTGAAAGGCTCGCTACTTAAGTATAAATGAGACACAAGACAGAGAAAACTGTGACAGTGGAAGTAACAGCATGACAATGAATACAATTTTCAAGGTGCAACATGATTTTCCACAAAAATGACAGCTCATTATAACTCAGTGGTCTTGGTTTCATGCTCAGAGATCTTATATATGTGTATTTATACTATATTGTTGATTTGCTGTATCAACCTCCTTGGCAAAACAAACAAACAAACAAAAACACAACAGGAATAGGTTTGGGGCATGTCTGGGGGCCAATTTTCTGCCTACAAACCATCCAAATAGATTCCACACCACAAAAGAACAATCCAGTTGTATAGCCAAAATCTGTAAAAGAAATGCTAGAAGTTTCATTTTTTTAAAAAAAATGGCGTTAAATTATTTAGAAAGGTCTTCTTGGTTTATTTAAATGGGGAATCACAGCTCATGAAAGCTTCTAGAATTAGCCACATTATTTTTCTCTCTTTTTTTGTGGATGATTATTTTATTCCTGCGAAGTCTCTGGGAGTCAGAAGGGTGCACTTTGTCCACCACTGCAGCACACACATTCTAGACTGTAGGTCACTTACAGGCCTTAAAATTAGGTTTGAGGACAGACTAGCCTGATGAAATCAAGCTTTTGTCAGTCATGCTGCAATCATTGTTCTAAACGGGTCAGATGCCACCCTTTGTGGATACAGTTTCAGCTGATCTCACACAAAAGAAAAATAAAGGAAAAATAAAATAAAGGAAAACTTTTTTTAAAAAAGAGCGGTAATAGGCAATTCAACAAAACAGAAAAAGCTAGAACACCCAGCTCCAAAATCTGTGAAGGGACTTCTACACACAGAGACGAGGCAGACGAACGAACGAACGGAAACCCAGAACGGTCTCCATCAGTTCTCTCTCCGTGGCAGAGCTCGGGAAGGGAGCAAAGGCGAGCGCGTCTCCGCCAAACCCGTGCTGTGCTTCCCACTTCCCGCCTTTTCCAACCCGCGCGTGGACCGTGAGAGTGACCGGTGGACGGGAAAGCAACTCTAACTCCGTTTCAACTTGGGTGCAAAGCTGCAACTTCATTTCCAGCAGCCGCGCATTGGAGGATCGCGCGACCTCTACCCCTGCCTCCTCCCCCCCATCCCCACCCCCCGCGCGCGGCCGGCGACCGTTAGAATCCAACCGCCTGCTCTCCGCCCTTCTTCGACGGCCTTTCCGTACCAATTACGTCACGTACGGAGCCTGAGGGCAAGGCGGCACGAGTAGGTGGGTGGGTTGGCTACGGAAGAGTGAAATACTACTGCATTGTCTGTCTCTCTCTCTCTCTCCCCCCCACACACCCCCGGTTACCGTTTCTCAACGGACACGGGCGCATGCGTGTCTGTGGGGACTTGGAAAGACGCGCGCATGGACGTTACTGCCGCTGAGCTCTGGGAGGCGACCGCGAGTTCGGCGAAGGAGCGCCGCTTGGAGCGAACAAGAGAGAGAGAAAGAGATACTTTTACCTTTCCCTCTTGCTCCCTCCCTCCCGTCCCTCCCTCCCCTATTTACCCACCATGCTCCGAGTCTGGACTCTCCGCCACCTCCGCTGTTTGTTCTCCCACGACGCAGCCCGTTGCTGCTCCTGCTACCGGTACCCTCCCGCGTGCGTTTCTTTTGAAAAGATGAAGAAGACACCGTCGGGAGGGCGGAGAAGAAGCTGACGCCTCAGCCCGCCCGGTTTGTTCCCGCGCGACCACCATGAGGAAGGAGACGGGAGCTGCTGGTGCCGTCGCCGCCTCTTCTTCTTCTTCTTCTCTCGCTTCTCTCCACAAGAGAGACTGGAGCTGCTGGTGCCGTCGCCGCCTCCTCCTCCTCCTCTTCTTCTTCTCTCGCTTCTCTCCACAAACTTGCCAGCCAACCTCCGGACAGCGCCGCTTATCCCGAGGCCAGCCTAAGGAACGGTTACGTGAAGGGATGTGCGACCTCTTTGCCCCAGAGCCCCCCGTTGGGCTTCCTTTCGCTGCTCCCAGTCGCTTATCGGGGGACTCTCTTCTTCAGTTTGTGCTCGGCGGTGGCCGCCACAGCGTTTCTCTCGTGGTGCCTCTGCTGGGGGGGCAGCGAGAGAAAGGAGGCGGCGGCGGTTGCCGCCGCGAGTCCCCGCGAGGCGGCCGGGTGGTTGCTGATGCTCGGGCTGTGCCAGTGCCTGAGCCCTCTCTTCAGCCTCGCTTGCGCCTTTTTCTTCCTCACCTGCTACCTGTCCCGAGACGAGTCCGGCAGCCTATGGTGGTTCCTGGCACTGCCCGTATGTTGCTACTCAGGGGACTTGGTGGCGCTGCAGTGGTTCCTTCTGCCCCACCGGGGCGAAGCGGAGCAGGGCGCCCCCCAACCTCCGCCGGCTGAACTGCAGATGGTGACAGGGCGGCTGCTGGCCACGCTGAGCACCGTGGCCGGGCTGACCCTCTTGCACCGCAGTCTCAGACTCCGCAGGAGCCTTTTGATTTTGGTTTTCTCCAGCCTCGTGTGGCTGGTCTCGCTCACCAGCCTGGGCTCTCTGCCCCCGACCCTTAGGCCTCTGTTATCCGGCTTGGTCGGGGTGGCGGGCTGTCTGTTGGCCCTGCTGAGTGGGGGTCGCTGCATCTTCTCTTCTTGCCATTCTTCAAGCCGAGGAACGCAGCACCATCTCCAGCCTTCTCATCCGAAGCTGACGGGTAGAGCCGAGGAGAAAGTGCCTGTGATCCGAGCCAGGAGGCGATCCAGCTGCGTGTCCTTGGGGGAGACTTCCACCAGTTACTATGGCAGCTGCAAAATGTCCAGGAGACCCTCGTTGCCTTGCATTTCTAAGGAACAGGTAAGCTTTCTTCTTCGATGGAAATGACAAATTCTCCAAGCAGAAAACTTGTCAGCGAGCGTCTTTTAGTATCCCACGAGTCGGAGAAAGGGGAACGCTCCTGGCTGGTTATGCGCTCAGACCACATTGGCTTGCTCTCTGTCCCTGTCCTGCAAACAGTTGTGCCTGTCTAAAACCGAACACGTATATGCATGTAACCTGGTGTGAATTATCGGATCGCAAAAGTGAGTCAGTTTGCCAGCGACTAAAAGTTCCTCCATTTACATTTCCAGAGAATAAGTCCTAGCTGTAATACTCTGTGTTAGCAAAAATGCAGAGAGTTATTTATTGGATTTCCTAATATTGCCTGTTTATAATATAAATGGATTGTCTGTTAATTTCCTGATGTTACTTTAAATAATTCTTTAAATCGTCACACAAGAATACAATGTGTAAGCCTTTTTTGGACTTTGTTAGGATTCTACCACCTTCACGAGATAAAAAACCAAACAAATACCCAAATGGGCAGTTTCTGTCACAACAGATAGACTTCAGAGTTGTAAAGTTGGCAGACTACAAACTGAATTTCCACAAGATGCAAAGTAGATTTACATTAAATGATATAGATTATGGCACTAGCAAAGTACTTAAAAAAATCAGTTGGTCATTGGCCTTCATAATGTAGGAGAAACATAGTAGGAACTAGTAGTTTGAGAGGGGTGTGTGTGTGTGTGTGTGTGTGTTTGTGTGTTTGGAACACAGAAGGCAGTTTGGTTTTTGTTTCAGAATTGCTTTTCATTTGAGTTTTTCAATAAAACACAGCAATCTGGTCAAGCTTCACAGATAGAAAAACACAAAGGAGCATGCTAACAGAGAGTCTGAGACGTAACCTGTTGTGCTTTGATAACACAAGGATCTAATAAAGGTTTAATATCTGGTGGGATGCCAAGAAGTGCAAACGCCTGAAGAAGGGTTATTGGGAGCACTGTACCAACATTTGAGCAGAGAGTTTAAAGTTGTTAAGCAGGTGGTGTTTGTGCTCTATAAATCTAGATTTTATCTATGAGGGAAAACAGTTAAGGGCTTTATAGCTATAAGAAACTCCATTTTAAATGTGGCAAATATGTGAAGCAATTTTTGACAGTAGCTCTTGCAGTTAGACAAATTAGTAAAGGGCAAAGATTTTCTATTGATTGAGCCACAGTTTAGGTGTAATACATAATATTGTATCAGGGCAAAGTGGATGCCCAAAATTAGCTTGTGCAAATACTTCATAGTTCATTGGAAGCCAGTACAGTAGTCTTGGAGAAAATTAACCATTGTAAAATAATTGTCCTGTGGCACGCATCTAGGGAACTTATGTTGACATGGCTTCTCATGTCTTTCAAGACAATGTTCTGTTAATCAGAGTCTTAATTCTAAGTAGATATAAATAGAATGCAATGAATGTATATAAATGTGTGAAGTTTGAAACACTTCTGATTGAGGAAAATGCATATTGCATTTCTTAGTAGTTTCTTAAGATTTTGTTTTGTGGTTATAAGTATGATACGTAAGTACATAAGAAGAGCCCTGGTGGATCAGGCCAAGGGCCCATCTAGTCCAGCTTCTTGTATGTCACAATTGCCCCACCGGATGCCTCTGGGAGCGCACAAGACAACTAGATACCTGTCTCCTGATACCACTCTCCTGCATCTAGCATTTTTCTTCAAGGAGCTGATGGGTACTAAATATATCAGTTCACGTCTTCTAATTTGGTCTGTAACCTTGTTGTTCATGGCTATTCCCTGGCTGACTGGCCACCTGAGTGGGTTTTTTAAACGGTTTGTTGCACCTTACTGCACTGAATGTGTTTTGGTATTGCGTATGTTTTTTTAGTACTGTATTCACTTGATCCTTTTAGTATTGTATATTCACTGTTGTTAGCTTAAATATTGTCTTTTAATTGTTGTAAGTTGCCTTGGGTCCTTTTTAAAGAGAAAGGTCGGACAAAAATTATTTTAAATAAATAAAGAAATTTATGCTAAGAACTGGTGCCAAACTAATTTTATATAGTTTTTTTTAGTTGTCCTCCATTTCTTTTACAATGGAAATAAGAAACAGCCTGCAAATTCCATGCAATAATATATTAATAGTACCTTCATAAAGGAAGTATTATCTTTTTAATATACTTTTTAAATGAATGCATTGTTTTACAGAAAATTCATGTAAGTTAATTAAATTATTGGAGCATTTAAACATTTTTTGGCTTAAGACGCAAACTTTAGTGTTCCATTTAGGAGAGGAGAAACCGAATGAAATTTTCCCTGTGAAGTAACATGAGGAAAATATTAAAATTTCAGACAATTACTTAACACAACTTTAGTCTGTTCTGAAAATTGGATGACTGGTGCATAACTATAGTGTCTTATAATTCTGCAATGCCAATGTTGCAAATCATGTGAACTAGTTTGGAAGAACATTTGCATGTACTGTACTATACACCAGCATGAGCTACTTGAACACTGTATGCTACTTGAACACTGAGAGAGCACATTAAAGAGTATTTATTTTCCTTATGGAGACCATAAGTGTGATGCACTAAATAAATTAAGGACAGCTATCATTTGAGCCCTGATGTCTGAAAAAAATAAATATTTCAGTTCTCCTTTTCACACAGTCACTGAAACCTTTGGAAAAAAACACACATAGGAGAGATAGAAGTTTCATATGAGGAAATAGCTTATGTGTTATCCCAATACAAATTTATTTTCTAATGTCACACTGGTTTTGCTAAAACAGGAACTAATCATTCACTCATGAATTGTACTTCTTTTATCTTTGCATCCAAAGAACACGTAAAATATATAAATTGCTGTATTTAGGACTTAATGCTTTTTTTCTGTGCATAGAGTGAGATGTTTGCATAGGCATTTGGGGACAAAACAGCAGTGTTGTAGCTGGATACCCTTCCAGATAACCTGAAGTTTCCAAGATGCCTGCTTATTTTTCAGATAGATATGTGCCTTTTGTGGAGTTTAGCTGGGTTGATTTTAAGTTGATGTATATCATGATATGCAGCAAGATCTTTTAATGCATGTGCTAGGGGTTCTGTCATTTGAAAGTTGTCTAATGATCTCATATTTATTTGCTTTCAGTGGAGAAGTCAGCAATTGTATTTCTTATTGCACACTGGTCACATGACTTGGCATGTAACAAGAAACCCAAGCATTGGCTTCTTAACTAGTGGTAATTCACTGCTGAAATTTATTTCATTGAACTGAAGCTTGTATAAATATTATGTTCTAGAGCTATTGTAGTATAGTGTATAGTACTGTATTGAACTGGGACTTAGGATATCTGAATTCAAATACTCTCTCTCAGACATGGAAACTCATTGAGGAGTGGCACTGGTAAAACTACTCCTTAAATATTTCACATACCTTGGAAACCCTGCTAGGGTCATGTAAGTCAGACTCTACTTGACAAGATATGTGGTAATATTTAAGTACAATTTTAAAATATTAAGAGGTCTGATTTGAGTAAACAGGTCCATGAAGGGTGAGTTTCTTGTTAGTCATTGCTGAATGAAGCCTCCAGATTTAAAGGCAATATGCACCCTTCCATCCCAGAATATCACTTGCTGGTGGCCAACTAAGAATGGGTTGTTGCTTTCCAGTCTTTGTTGTTATCATGTATCTTTGGTTATATTTTTGTGTGCACTTGCATGTATATACATAAGGAAAAGCAGGCCTTGAAGCCGTATTTCCCAAAGATGTAGTATGAACAGAGTAGATGATGAACTATGCTTCAGTAAAGTTTGATGATAGCTGCTTGACACATAATGTGGAGCACATTAACCCAAGAAAGGGATATGGAAAAATAACTTTCTTGGCTGGTCTTTTGACAGTAATAAAGTTTTATCTATCTTTCTTGGCTTATGTTCTGGAATTCTTCAGCTAGTGTGAACACTGATCATGCTGCCTGGAGAATTCTGGAACCTACAGTCTAAAAAAGGAACTTTTCCAAGTGCTGCCCATGACAAATGTTCCTCTGTTTGTAATACAGTTTGTAATAATTTCTCTAAATTATTACAAACTATATTTTATCACAAATATATTAATAGCAGAAGAAAAATGTAATTACTATCCTAATATTCTAGCACATCATCTAGTAAATACTTCTACGAGTCCTTATACAAAGGTAGAGAAAGGTAAAGGCAGAACATTAATTTGCATCTTAGACAGGGAAAGGAAGCTCGAACTCCTTACCACACTGGGCAGCTGGTGATGGAGGACAATCTGGGTAGCCCGAGGAGACTTGTGAGTGGCGCAACCATCCAGGAGGTGGGTGGAGGGAACATATGGCAGCTATGGTGCCGGGTGGAGATCTTCATGCTAATAAAAATGGTGCTGCATTCCTTTCTGGGAGTTATAGTTTTGATGCCCTTTAGGCTCTGTAGAAGGCACTTCCCAAAGAACTATAGTGTAATGAAGCATTGCAACAGTTTCCTTTTTTTGTATATTAATGACAGGATGTAGGTTGGATCTAAGCCATGTAACTTCCGAGGTAAGACCCTCATCCAGATGATGAAATTGAAATGTCTGGTGGTGTAGATTAATGTGGATAAGTCAGCAGTTGGGGTGCAGATCAACATTTGTTACCCTCTTGTCTTCAATGGCACATAATAATGGGAGTTGTGATTTAAAATATCAGGAAAAGAAAGAGTTACAACAGCTAGCAAGAAGGATTGACCGGTTGGGTTCAAAATGTGTCCCTATTTTCTCCTTGTGGGAGGTAGGTGGCTACAGCCTTCTTGAAATATGTAACTGTGAGGCCACAATCTAGTCCAGCTGTAACAGTTGCTAAGACAGTTGTGAATATCCCCTTCTTGAGCAAGATGCTTAGGAAGGTGGTTATAGCATCAAATTCATTGAAAGTGAAACAGATTATTTGGATGTATTTCATTACATTTTCTGGCCTAGTTTTAGTACAGAAACTGCCTTTGTAGATCTGATATATTATCTGTGTGGAAAAAAGCT